CGATAAAAACCATTTCGGACAGACGTTAACTTGAAAGCATTTTCGTAAAGATAGCTTGAAAGCGTACGAAAGATGCATAGTGGATGTAAAGCAAGTTAAGAGGTTTGTAGTAAAGTAAATTACTCAAATATAGAAATTTAAACTAGAGAAGAACATGCCGATTTTATAGTGGTTCGGTTGTTATGACCTACATCCACTCCGTCGATTCCTCTTCCGTCGAGGCCATCGGCATCCACTATTAGTCTTCCTTCAATAGGTGAAGACCAACCACCTTTTACAACTTGATTCTCCTTTTATCGGGTTTAGGAGATAACCCTTACACCCCCACTTACTCATCTCTCAAACTATTCTAACACTTAGAACTTTTGAGAGAAGTTCACACAAGATTGCAGTAGCGTTTCTTTTTATTTTTACTCCCAAGTCTTGTGTAGTTTAACCAGGGATGAGAGGGGTATTTATAGGCCTCAAGTTGATTCAAACTTGGAGCCTAAAAATATCTCATCCCATGTTTCCTGGGTTTGGGCGGTACCACCGCTTGTGCTGGATGGTACCACTGCTAATGTCAATCTAACACTAACACTGCACTAGGCGGTACCACCGCCCAGTCTGGCAGTACCACTACTTGGGAGGCTGTGCTGAATGGTACCATCGCTCAGACTGGTGGTACCACCGCCTGCAGCCTCTCGGAGGCTATGTTTGGGCGGTACCATCGCCTGACATAGTCTCGAAGACTGTGCCATGACGGTGTCATCACTTGGGTCACTGTTTGGTCCTTTCATTGGGCTCAACACAGTCCTTACAAGGGCCCAATTGGCCCATAATTAGGTTGACCCAAATCCAATCCTAATTACGTGCTAACTACGAAATCTAAGGCATACTTAAGCTAAACAAGTCCCTAGGTTTTGGTTTCTTCCAGCAAGCTTCCGGCGATCTTCCGGCGAACTTTTGACAATCTCCCGGCAATGTTCCAACGGACTTCCGGCAAGCTCCTGGACTTCACGATGATCTTCTTGGTGAGTTCTGATAAGCTTCTTCCAGCAAGCTCCTAGACTTCTCGGTTGGTTCCTACAGAACTTCCGACGAACATTTGGACTTCCGACGAACTCTCGAACTCCTAACGAAATCGCGTCCTTGACTTCGGGACTTCATTTTGCTTCATGTCTTGTTATCATAGTTAATCCTGCACATGTAAAACACACTTCGATCTAGACAATTATTACTAAGCATGAATCATATTGTTCGGCATGTCATTAGTCCATCGACGCTTCATCGGATTCTTCGGCGCATCGTCCTCTCTTGCGGCCTATTGCCCAATTGGCTAGTTGACTCCGCAACTCCGATATCCTTAGCGCAATATCCACTCTTCTTGGCCCGATGCCCGAATTCGTGGCCCAAAACCTTTTGTCGATACGTCGACTAATCCTCCGGCCCGACATCCAATCTTCTAACATGTTCCACTGGCCCAACATGATTCTTCCAGCTTTAATTATCTCATCCTAATCGAAGCATCCTGGGTCACTCAAAATGTAAATCAAATCATAAACACTTATCAATTGGTTTCATTATCAAAATACGAGATTCAATAATTCACGGGGTTCAACAAATAATTGATATTTCATGATCAAAGGTGTAATCAAAGGTGTAGTACTGCTTGTAGTAGCGGTCCTTATATCTCGTATTAACAATCGAAAGATGATCGAAAAAATCTCTATTTGATGATGCTTCTTCGTGTGTATATATATATATATATATATATATATCCTATTTGTCATCTGTTACCATATGTTTATTCTGTTAATCAAATATAAGCATACAATCTCTCTGCTATTTCACTCCATAGTCTGATGGATATATTAGTATTATATTATGGTGCAGTTTGTTTCTGATTCGGTATCTTCTGTTTGAGAAAAAAAAAATCCAGATTATTTATTATATTCATCGGTAGTGTTTCAAAATTCTGTTATTTTTTAGACTATATATTGGATATATTTGTTTGTGGTATAAGTTCTTTCTTTTTGTATGTAGAAGAAGATAACTAGCCGCATGTTTGTGGTCCTTATAATTGTTAGCTGTGCATACTTTATATATATTTTTTCCTCTAAACTACATATACTTTCTGTTAATAATATGTTTTGTTTCGGATAAGTTTCCTCATTGAGATTGTGAACTCTTGCAAGTTTGTGGTCCTTATAAGTTTCCTCATTTGGATATTGAGTAGCTTTATTAACATGAGTTGAATGTTTACAGAAAAGCATCTACCTTCCTGTTTTATTGGTTTCTTTGCAGATTAACTAATATTAAACAAGCAATCCTATGGCTGGAGAATTTTGTTTCTTTTTTCTAAACATTTATAATATATGTATACATGAATTTATGAATGTTAAGTAGTTAGCAGACTCATCTTGTGGCTTCATCCGTAGTTTTCTTGTGATATGATCTTGACTGATGCTGGATGCTGCATCAATTTGCCATTTATATTTTTCCATACTTCTTGTCGTTAATGATCATAAGGAAGATGATGACCTGATCACTATGCGGCTTGCAGTGTGGCCTCTTAAGATTTTATAACTTGTCCTCTGAACAGGAGCTACGTCATCCCTCTTTACGGAGTATCAGTATGTCGGAATCTTCATGCTTACTTTTGCCATTATGATCTTCCTCTCTCTCGGATCAGTTGAGGGTTTCAGCACAAAGAGTCAGCCCTGCACTTACAGCAAGGATAAAACCTGCAAGCCAGCTCTTGCCAATGCTATCTTTAGCACCCCTATCCTTCTTGCTTGGCACAATTACCTCTGTTATTTCTGGTTTTCTTGGGATGAAAATAGCAACTTATACAAATGCCAGGACAACTTTGGAAGCCAGGAAAGGTGTTGGAAAGGCTTTCATTGCTGCATTTCACTCAGGTGCAGTCATGGGATTTTTACTTGCTGCCAATGGACTTCTTGTGCTTTGCATTGTGATCAACCTATTTAAGTTGTACTCCGGGGATGACTGGGAAGTCCTTTTCGAGGCCATTACTGGTTACGGATTAGGTGGGTCTTCGATGGCACTTTTTGGGAGAGTTGGTGGAGGTGTGTGTCTACACCAAAGCTGCTGATGTCGGTGCCTGATTTTGTTGGAAAGGTTGAGAAGAATATTCCTGAGGATGAATGACCCTTAGGAATCCAGCTATATATATATATATATATATATTTGTGTTACTGCATATACATTATCTCCTTGTGAATTAATATAATGTGTTGTGTTTTATGTGAAATCAAGTGTTTATATACTTGCTATTTATTTTCTCATGCACTTATCTAATAATAAGAATCTTCTGGTTCTACTCGAGCATACTTAATTGTTTTCTGCTACTCTGCAATTTTTTTTGTCTCCATATCATTCATTCAGTGCCTAAACAACATGTTTGTACTGATAATGTTGGGGATATTGCGGGTATGGGGTCAGATCTGTTTGGTTCATATGTCGAGTCATCCTGTGCTGCCCTTGTGGTGGCCTCAATTTCTTCCTTTGGAATCAACCATGAGCTGACTGCAATGTTGTACCCCTTTATTAGCTCCATGGGAATTATAGTTTGTTTGATCGCTACACTCTTTGCTACCGCTACCGACTTCTTTGAGATAAGGGCAGTGAAGGAGATTGAACCTGCACTGAAGAGGCAGCTCATAATCTCTACTGCTCTCATGACTGTGGGCATTGCAATTGTTAGTTGGATGGCCCTCCCATCAACCTTCACAATCTTTAATTTTGGTGCTCAGCCATGACCATGAAGAGTGTCGATAGTGCATCTCTGATGATGGTAGAGGAGGTCCGCCGGCAGTTCAATGAAATCCCTTGTCTGATGGAGGGATCCACTAAACCAGATTATGCTACTTGCGTCGTCAAGATCTCAACTGATGCCTCCATCAGGGAGATGATTCCTCCTGGTACTTTGGTGATGCTCACCCGTCTTATAGTTGGAACCTTCTTTGGCGTCGGAAACTCCATCAGGAGTGCTTGCAGGTTCTCTTGTTTCTGGAGTCTCCAGGTCTAATAAATCAGGAGTTCTTTTTTGTTGATTTTTTTTATCGATGCTTATTGCTTATACTTTTTGATGATCCCTTAAATCATTTTTGTGGTGCATGGGATAACGCAAAGAAGTACATTGAGGTAAATTTAATGAATTCTCAAACAATTTATTCCTCAACACTTACTGCATAAAATTTGTGATCAACCTTAGAATTAATCTTCACCACTTTATATTATTGATAATGTTTCTTAATTTTCTATTTCATTCAGGCTGGGGCTTCGAAGTATGCACGGACGCTTGCTCGGCCCTGCCCGAAAGGATCAGATATGCTCACAAGGCTGGTGTAATTAGTGACACCATTGGAGACCCCCTCAGAGACACACACACATCAGGGCCATCACTCAACATCCTTATCAAGCTCATGGCTGTAGAAGAATCACTTGCGTTCGCCGCCCCCTCTTTAAGATCCTTTAGAATGGAGGGAAGAAGGCATAGATTTGAAGCATAATTTCTCCCATTTCGAGTTTCTTCTTTTAAGTCTCAGGGGACTTTAATTAACCAATCCTAGTTGGGTGTAAGAACAGTGAGATCACCCCCTTTCCAGGTTTCTTTTGATGAGGATTATGATAAGAGGGTTATAACCAGCTTCTCATATTATGATGATGAAATGCTGAATTCAACCATTAGTGTACTACTTCAATCCATATTAGTATACAGCATTTGTTTATGTATATTACTTGTTGAAGATTGTTTGTAATTGATGTCTTTTTAAAGACAAAAACAATAGACCTATCATCGATGAACATACAAAGTTTCTATTGCACTCCCCAACCTACACCCACTCCACAAAGTTCCTCCAAGTCCTGTCATCGACATTATCATAGTAACTAAGACAAAAAACTAGAATTCTTCCACCAACATAACAAATGATTTAAAAAAACACACACAAAGCATCTACATAGTCAAAAATATAGGGTACGGTGAAGAACACTGAAAATGAGGCAAGCTTTGAGTATATATCGAATGCTGACTCAGAGTAGCAATATTGTTATGTTTAAGATTAATACATATAGTAAAGTTCATACACAGGAGGTCATCGCTTACCTAACCTATAGGGAATCATTCCCAACCACAAACTAAACCCACCTTAATGCTAAGGTCTAATCAAAACTAGCCAATATGAAACTATATGCAAGAACGGACGTAGCATCTCCTCACTTCCTCTTTTTGGAAGGTGGTTGTGGGAGTTCCTCATCCTCGTCTTCATCATCCTCTTCCTCATCCTCATCCTCATCCTCCTCTTCATCATCGTCCTCCTCATCATCTTCCTCATCCTCTTCTTCGCTTCCTCCTCCACCATTGACCTCGGGATCATCATTCTCTCCTTCGTTATCGTTCCCCTCCTCTCCAGAGAAATCATCTTTACCTCCGTCTTCCTGACTGTCCCCATCCTCATCATTGTCATCATCTGACTCGCCATCGTCCTTGTTCTCGGGAACAGCTTCAGGTTTGCTTCGTCGGAGTATCCTTCAGAGGAAGGGGCCAGAATAAGAGTCTCATGGCAAACTAAACTTACTCTTTTTATGTAAACCAGCAGGTTCAAGATCCAGACTTAACAGATGACAGCATATATGTAAATGGCTGGTCAAATGTATACTTTACCTTAAACCAAATAAACAGAAAGAGAAGAGAATCCTACCCTAAAATTACTTCCGATCCTTCATTCCGCGGACCAGTTTGACTTGATATAGAGCCCACCTGGAACAAACTCAATTTTTAGTGGGAAGTAAAACAGTAGTCAGTTTGTGTCAACATATTGATAGGTTAGGTTAAACTGAAAGCAAAACTTGATTTTCTCACAAAAATTTGAGAATTAGATCATGACCAACCAAGTTGGTAGAAATACTGTCCTGTGAACTGAATCAGCCATCTGATCATAATGGGAAAAGGGTTTGAAACAAAATAAAAACCAGTGTAATTTAAGAAATGACTCATTGGATTGATATCCCACGGTCCTCTGACTAAAGACTTCAACACAGATATTGATCATAAGTTACATTCAATCTATGGATTGGGACAAGTCAAATGAGACAGGTCAAGGTTGCAATGAACATGTAGAAACGTGGGAAAAAAATAGAGAAGTTGCAATGAACAAATAATGACTATAGTTAGCATTATCTCCTCTGTTCTAATGTTCAGCATACAAGGATTGGATCATGAGCAGTAGTGCATGCTATCTTAGTGCAAAATAGATATTGGATACATAAAAAAAGCAAACATCATGGGTATCTCCCATCCACACAAAAATTCCTATCATAAGGGATGTTAATAGAATGAACTCAAGATAACAATATGACAACCGGTTTCAAAATCTTGGTAAATGAATATTTAGAAAAAAATGAGAACTACATAAAGTAGGGTGGCACAATGGCAGGATATGCAGTATCGCTCTTGTGCAATTAAAGATGTTTCTGTAACTCAAACTATAGTTCCTAGATCGCTAAAGAGAAACATTATATTCGCACCAAGGTCCACCCTCGACAAAAGAAAAAATGTACATCAACAAAAACAAATTGGTAATGCCAATGACAGATTAGTGTAAGAGATGGTTAAAATGTATAAGGAAAAAGAAATAAGAACCACAATAGTTTGAGAACATCCTAAAGCGCCAGCAACACCGACAACAAATTTTGAAGCTTCTAAGACAATCCAAGGGGAAAGCAAACCAACAGCACAACTACATGTTAATTTTTCATACCACATTAAGATTAAAAGCAAGTGCATAACAAATTTCTCTCCTCGTAACACACACGCAGACTTATATATACATGCCATGCAGTGATTTCAATAGGCGCTCGGGCGCTCACCTAGGTTCTCGAGCGAGGCGAGGCGAGGCGAGGCCTGAGCGCCTCGCTTCATGTCCAGGCGCCTCACTTCAAAGAGGCATCGCCTGGGCGCTCGCCCGAGCCCAGGCACCGAGCACTTCGAGTGAGCGCCTGGGTTAAACCAAGCGACCGAACCAGATTTTAAGGTTTGGTTGGTCTCCGGTGGTTTAGTTGGTTCAATCGAACCAACTAAATCACTGATATCAGGCTTCCTCTCGCAATTTCCCTAACTTCCCCGTCGAGATTTCTTCTCCGCTGTCGCTGCTCTCTGTTGTCGCTGCTCGCCACTACTGTCGCTACTCGCCGCTGCCACAATCGCTGCTCGTCGTTGCTGTTGTCGCTCGCCGCTGCTGTCGCCGCTCCCGCTACCGGTGCCGCTCACAGCTCCCACTCCCGCTGTCGCCACCGCTCGTCGCTCCCGCTCTAGCTACCGCTGTCGCCTGGTACCTCTATCGTTGCCTCAACAGTCTCGGTCTTCTCACTATACTGTTAATAGTATATTAATAGTATACTACTAACTGTATACTAATAATAATATTTGTATTTATTAGATTAATAATATATTATTTTGATTTTAATACTATTAATTTTTATTTATTTAATAGTATATTTTTTATTAAAAAAATAAAAAAAATACTATTATGATTTATTTATTTATTGTGATTTTGTACCCAATTTGGGATGTTGAGGGAAAGCAAATTTTCACGTGGCAAAAACTTGCTGCTCTTGTAGTAGTGAATAGTGATACTGAAAAACATATTAATGCTGAATATAGATATCTATATTGCATTTATAGTTTTACATGGCATCAGTGATTTAAAAAGCGCTAGGCGCCAAGGTCCAAAAACGCCCGAGGCGCTCGCTCGAGCGAAACGAGACGCTAAAATATAAAAATATATAATATAATTAATAAATATAATTATTTAAATAAAAAAATATATGCTATTAAATTAAGAAAATCGGGTACAAAATCATAATAAATAAAGTATATACCAACATCGCAAATTTTCACGTGGACCTGGATTGGTTCCACGTCGATATAAGTATATACCAACAAATGCACATCAAACTGACTCTCCAAGACACTAATGTTGGTTTGACATGCTATTTTCCCAATCTTAAAGAAGCATATGTAGGTAGTGTTTTTCAATAAGTGAGGCCCTATTATCATTTGTTTTTTCCTAGATGGGAAGAGGTGAAGACATCCTCGCACACATGGAATCAAAATGGCTTCCACAGCTGCTCTTTTTTCATGCAGGCCAATGTTATTAATCCTTTAATTCCAATAAGTGCAAGCAATTATAGGACAGGATGAGGAGGTTATTGGCAAAAGTCAGCTGTCTAATAAGAGAAGAGATTATAAGATAGCTTCAATATCAAAAGATACCAACCATCCTGAGAATACACGAGCATGGGCAATGAAAAAGTTTAAAATGACCACACCAACATTCAGATTCAAGAAAGTTCACTGTGAATTCAAATGACAGAGAAAACCTGAAATTATGGAGCTCCTAATGGAGACAAACCTGAAAGCCTTGCATCTTGGTCAAACCAGACCAATTTGACCAATTTAAGCTGGTTTAGGATGATTCCGAACCGATTTTGACCGGTTCAATCTTGCTTGAACCAAATTAAATACAATCTAAGTCAAATTAGACTTATTAGACTTCTTTAGGGTAATTCCATATTGGTTTTATGAGGATTTGAAATAGGTTAAGTTATGTTATATCTGAATTAAATCTGGTACAAATCAATTGAACCAATTTGACTCAGGTTAGATCTGTCCAGACAAATCAAATCCCTCAATTTCGATTTTATTCAATAATTTAAATACCTAGCTAATTAATACATATAATAAATAATCTCATTTAATTCAAACATAGAATTCTAAAAAATAAATTAATTAAATAAACATTATAAAATTCTCGATTAATCAATATGTTGATTCAAATATTCAACATGTTGGCAAATTATTCATTCAATGTGATTTCAAATGTAAAAGCATGAATTTTGTAAAATTTATTAATCAAATAAATCAACATACTAAACTAGTCAAATCAACTTAAAGTATAATTATAAAATTTCAAAAAAATAAATTTATTAATTAAACATGATTTCATATTTCAACTAGGTCAATGGCATCATAATTCATGTATCATGCTATGATAATTTCAATATCCTAAAATATTTAATCATAATTTATAGTTTTTAAAACAAATGAAGTTAATATCATTACAAAACCAAGAATTTTCAAAAATATATAGAAAATAAATTGAGAAAGAGCGGAGGACCTACCTCTCTTTAGTAGGATCCTCTCCTTATTCCTCCCATAGAATGCCCAAGTTCTTTGTACCTCTCCTTGTCCTCCCTCTCCCTCATTCCTCATCGAGCTTGGCAATAGGAGCAATAAGGAGATGACCCCGTCAAGGAAAGGTAGCTCCTCCACCCTTTGTTAATTTATTTCCTATATATTCTTTAAAAAACCTTGTTTTTGTGTTAATGTTAACTTTATTGGTTTAGGAATTATGAATTATGATTAAAGATTTTTAGATATTAAAATTATTTAAGCATGATTCATAAATCATGATATCAATGTTCTAATTTAAATATAAAATATTTAATTAATAAATTTTATGAATTTTATCCTTATTCTTTAAGTTGATTTATCTACTTTGGCATATTGATTTATTTGATCAATAAATTTTAAAAAATTCATACTTTTATATTTCAAATCAAGTTGAATTAATAATTTGGTAGCATATTGAATATTTAATCAACATATTAATTAACTAAAAAAATTATAATATTTATTAATTAATTTTATTATTTAAAATTTCATGTTTGAATTAAATGAAATTGTCTATTACATGTACTAGTTAGTTAAGTATTTAAATTATCGAATGAAATTAAAATTGAAGGATTTGATTCGATCGAGCCAGGTCTAACCTGAGTCAGATCGCTAACTAGACATGGTCAAGTCAACCGCATACCCTTGGGTCCAACCTAGGTGCAGGTTAGCCTAGTTCTTGGCACAATCCGATGAGACCAAGAGTCTGTGGAGCAAGTTGGCTCGCCTTAGCAACCCACCTAATGATAGGGGTGTTCAGATCAATTCGAATCGAACCAAACCACTAAAGACCAAACCGATCCAAATCGAAAAAGCAATTCGGCTTGTTTAAAGTAAGATTGTAACATCTCGATTAGTCCCATATCGAAATTTGACAAGACTAAGTTGACTTATAAGAGTCTGATGAGTGTACTACTATCAACTTCAACTTAAGCATTTTAACTAGTGACCATTTGGTAACAGAGTCGACCTAGTATTGGGGAATTGCGAGGGGCTTGAGTAGGAAAAGACTATCCGTGGATGAAGTCAGAGGACTCGTCACATCGAAAATGGGTAAAAGTGGTTTAGGTCAAACGAAATTGATGAGTCAATTAGCCTATCAGGTATGGGTCGTGACATTTGGTATTAGAGTCGACCTAGTATTGGGGCATGATGAGAGGCTTGAGTAGGGCAAGACTATCTGTGGATGGAGTCAAAGGACTTTGATATTTGATATCAAAGTCAACCTAGTATTAGGGCATGGTGAGGGGCTTGAGTAAGAAAGGGCTACCTGTGTATGGAGTCAAAGGATTTGTCACGACGTAGAGCCACCATTGGACTACGCCTCACATGCACCATGCTAGAGTTCGATCTGGGCTAGAGTATGATAAGTGTACTACTATCAATTTCAACTTAAGCATTTTTACCAGTGGTTTCTGTCAAACGAAGTTGATGCGTCAATTAGCCTATCAGACTCGGGTTGTGATAAAGATACTTCGAACCGGAGCCCCTTTAAACATATCTAACCGAATTGGTTCAAAATCGATTAACATATTTCGGTTAACTGGTTAACCAATGTTTAATTTTAAGTAATCCAAAAATATATAAATTTTAAATGAACCGATTCAGTATAATTGAATCAAGCTATAATTTTGATCCACTTAGATCGACATTCTTAATAAATTTATATCACAAATATCATTCTAAACATTTTAAAAAATATATTAGTCATAGAAAGAAGCAATTAACAATAAGACAACACAAAGATGATACTCCTCCCAATAGTGACCTCTAAAAAAGTTGCGAGTATAGCAGCTGTGGGCCTTCCATTGAAGCATATTACTCCATTACAATCTACGGTTAGTAATTGTCATTTGTGATGGTGCCTGAACAGCCAACCCACCCTTGTGCACTAGTGGTTTCCTTTTTTTTATTGAAAGATGCCCTAGAGGGATGACTTTTGACAAGTGGCTTGGGTCATACAAAGTTGATGGGTCAATTAGTCTATCAGGGTCGGATCGTGACAAAGATACTCCGAACCAGAGCCCTTTTGGACCTATCTAACTGAATTGGTTCAAAATCGGTCAATCAATTGCAGTTAACCGATTAAACAATTTCTAGTTTTAAGCAATTTAAAAATATAAAAATTTTAAATGAACCAATTCAGTTTAATTGACTCGAACTAGAATTTTGATCCAATTGAATCGACATTCTTAATAAATTGATATCACAAATATCATTCTAAACATTTTAAAAAAATATTAGTTATAAAAGGAAGCAATCAACAATAAAATAACACAAAGATTATACTTCTCCCAATAGTAACCTCTAGGAAAGTTGAGAGTATCGTAGTTGCAGGCCTTCTATTGTAGCATATTACACCATTACAATTTGCTATTAGTAATTGCCATTTGTGATAGTGCCTCCCCTTCATGAACAGCCAACCCGTCCTTGTACATTTGTGGTTTCCTTTTTTTTAATTGAATGATGCCCTAGAGGGACAATAACTTTTGACTAGTGGTTTAGGTCAAACGAAATTGATGGGTCAGTTAGTCTATCATGCTCGAGTCGTGACAAAGATACTCCGAGCCGAAGCCCTTTCGGACTTATTTAACCGAATTGGTCCAAAATCGGTTAATCTATGTCAGTTAACTAGTTAACCAATTTTTAATTTTAAGTAATTTAAAAATATATAAATTTTAAATGAATTGATTCAGTTTAATTGAATCGAACTAGAATTTTGATTCAATTGGATCGACATTCTTAATAAATTTATATCACAAATATCATTCTAAACATTTTAAAAAATATATTAGTTATAGAAAGAAGCAATCAACAATAAGACAACACAAAGATGATACTCCTCCCAATAGTAACCTCTAAGAAAGTTGAGAGTATAGTAGTTGAGGGCCTTCCATTGTTGCATATTACTCCATTACAATCTGCTATTAGTAATTGTCATTTGTGATGGTGCCCTCCCATTCATGAACAGCCAACCCACCCTTCTGCGATAGTGGTTTCCGTTTTTTTATTGAAAGATGCCCTAGAAGGACAACGACTTATTGATGATGAGGATATATATAGCGATGCATAGAAATCAACAGAGAGATTCATACAAATCAATAAAGGGATTGTTTACAAAGAAGGATGTTAAAAAAAATAGGGTTCATACCTGAAACGAGAGAGCGAGACCAAGAAGGGGATGGAGGAGTCATGAAGTTGAAAGAAGAGCAGTGAACTCATCGAGTTTGGGCAAGGATTTTAGGGTTTGGGGGGCCTTGGGATGGACTAGTATTTTTTACATTAAAATCAGTTTGGTTCGGTCTGAACTGGTTAACCGAACCAAAGACGAGTATCGTCCTAAATTAGAACCATTTACAGCCTTCAAAACTGAATTATTGATGAACCAATTCAAAATTGGTTCAGTTCAGGTTCGGTTCGATTTTCCGATTTAATTTTAACACCCCTACCCAATGATTTAATACCCTTGCAAGGGTCTAATGAGGAATGAGGGAGAAGGCGATCATACTATTCTCGTTTAGTCTCATATTAAAAGTGGGCAAAGACTAAGAATGCTTGTAAGGGTCTAATAAGTGTGTTACTGTTAACTTAAGCTTAAACATTTTAGACTAATGGTTCAGATTCAATGAAGTTAATAAGTCATTTATCCTATCAGGTTGGTTTGTGATAATTGGTGTTAGAGTCAACCTAGCATTACGACATGTTGAGAGACTCGAGTAAAAAAGGACGACCCATGGACGGGGACGGAGGACATATCACCGCATGAACCTGCTACTAGGCTAAGCCTCACATCCACCGTACTAGGGTCTGATTTTGACCTATACATGGAGCCACTACTAGATTATGCCTTACATACACTATATTAAGATCTAAATCTAGACTATATATTAGCCTTTAACGAAGCGTCAAGCTCTTAAGTGGGGAAGATTGTAACGCTCTGATTTAGTCGAGCAAAGACTACCATTAACTTTAGCTTAAGCACTTTGGGTCAGTGGTTCAGATTCAGTGAAGTTAATGTGCCAATTATCTCACTAGGTTGGATCATGACAAACATGGTCAGTAGAAGATAACAGACACTAGCAATAGTCAAATCCTAGCTCATAGGAAGACTTGTGCACCCTTCAGCAACAATATGGTTTGTTACCGTTAACATGCATTAGTACATAAAATAGTGCAAGAAAGCCTTACTAGAGTAGCAAACATGAGAGCTCAAAATGCAACGAAAAAGAGTAGAATGGGGATGAATTCCCTTCAAAACCTAGCATCAAGAGAAAAAGAAAACTGAAAAAAAAAAAAATCCAGAGCCTAATTCCCAGATATTAACCTGACAATATATAAAAGCTGTGATATCTAATGGAAGGATATACGCAAACATATAAAAAATCAAATTCTCCTTAAAGATGTTCATGAACTGCATATTCTTACGCCTCAATGTTGCAGCACATATAACTAAACCAAAAAGAAGCCAGAAATTATCCTACCTGTAAAATTTGACACCACAGAGAGTCCAAATTCACATTTGTAGGCCTCAAACACAGAAATTATTCTTGCAAAGGGTCAAAAATCACGTGTTTAGGTCTCAGAAAAAATCTTCCAATCAGTACAACTCACCGCCAAAAATATCCCAAGATCATCATGCCACAAACGCATGCTTAAACCATCAACTTAAGCAAAACAACAGAATTAAGCACCGGAAACACATAAAATGTAAAAGCATCGCCACTTATGTAGCTCAGCACCCAGGAAAGCCCTGTACCCGCCTCTCCAATCATCAGCTTCAATAAGTTACTAACGGAGAATAAGTTCAGGATATCAAATTTTAAAAAAAGGAGGGTCCGTACCGCCAGAATAAAGCAAAGGAGCGACCTTTCAGCAGCCAATACGGTCTCCGCCACTAACAATTCGACCACAGATTGGGGAGAAGCAGCTCCTGTATTCTTGCTTCCGCGCAACGCCTCCATATCTACGATCCAAGCACCAAAATCCATAAAAATCAGCAAAAAAAAGCGGCAGGAAATAAGACGAGCCACAACCTAGGCAAAGAGCAGAACCGGGGTAGAGAATATCAACTCAGAACTTGAAAGAGGAGAAGAGGAAGAGGAGGAGAAACCAACCAAAGTCAAAGAGGGAGGAGGAAGAAGAAAGGAGAGCGCTTTCAACCCGATGCTGTAGCGCAAGATCTATCTCATGGATTATTCGAGCTCTCTCTCTCTCTCTCTCACTCTCTGGGGAGAGCAAAGGATGTCAAGGGGAAGTTTTGATTAGGGTTTTGGGCGCTTAGGATCGAGGGGATCCCCTCCAAGTAGTGGTGAGGAACCGCAGTGGAACAGCATTGATTTCCAATGGGGCCCCGCATTACTGGACGCCTTTGTTATGGAACTTTAAGATTTCTGATGAAAGGTCCTTTGTTGAGAGGATCCCGCTGAGATACTCTGGGTTTGTGTGGCGCCCGCTGATTCGTCAAGGGAATCACATCCAACCCGTATTCAACAAAAATTATTGTGAATCTTTTTTATTTTCCTTCTAGTAAAAATATATAACAAATATATGAATATAACCAATCATGTAGCATAAATAGAACCATCTTTGAACAAAAGTAATTTAATTTTTTTACGATAATTAGAACCATCTTTGAACAACATTCATCTCATCAACAACAATCTATAACAACAAAACAACAGATATATAATTATCACATATATGGCAAATTAGAATGTAAATTTCCAGTTTTATCTTCCCTGTCCGTGATTTCTTCTCCAGCTACTTTCTCCGAATCTTCCACCCTTCTCTCTTCCCGCAGTTGGAAAGCCAAAGAGAGGCTTTAAATTAGTCGTCTTTCCCTTTCCTTCCGCACATTTCCAAATCCTCTCAAAAGCTTTGCTTGTTTCTTCTTTTGTGCTACTTCATTACTTCCCACACTCGGACACTTCCTTGTCATCTTCCCCTCTCTCTCACGCTCTCCGGTAAAGTTGATTCAAGGAACCAAAAGACTTTATTTATTTACATTTCTCGGTACATATATATTATTTTTAATTCAACCTAGCATGAATTGATTAGTACCCTAAATCTACCGTTCGGATGTATGCCTTTAAATCAATAGAAAGAGGAATAAGCTTCTGAAGGTTTTCTTTTAATCTCTGACTAAGATATATGCACTGACAGCCCAAAAAAGTAAAAGGATAGTTTATACAGAAAACTACAAGTCCAAAAAAAGGCCACAATTCAACTTGATGATGAAGCAAGCAAAAGACACCAGAAAAAAAGAAGAATTCAGAACAAAATGGATGCAGTGAAGAACATAATCACATTCCAGCAGCAGAAGTTAACAAACAATATATTGTTTCAGCTGTGAAACGAATACAGTATCTCACTCTTGCAAATCTTATAAGTAGCAAATGACCAGTGAAAACATATTCTGAAAAGATAAGTGGAGTTCTTTTTGGAGGGGGTTTCCCCTATATATTAGACAATAGAACTGTGGTTAGCCATCAAAAATACTCCATGAAACCCACCTTCCACTTATCATCATTTATCTACTACATTTGGGTTAGTCATTCACAAGAAGAGAAATTCTGCCTTCTCCACGCTCAAGCAAACTAGTACGGAGACTCAACAATCTGGTAAGGGATCATTGAGGTCTGGTATTATGATGAAATCCTTGTGGCCAGGAGACAGTGTGATGCATTGTTGACATAATCCTGGCAGTTGATAATCCTCAGGAGCCATGCAAACCCTTTCTGGTATATTCAGCGACTTCAAGTGCATCTGCAAGAATGATGTGGCAAATGGATGTATATGAGACCACTACTACTTGCAAACTCTTTTGACAGTGAGAATGAGAAGGTTAGAACCATACTTAATAGGTAAACTAAGTTGAGAACACTGTCAAAAAGACAAAAAATCACTATCAGAGCCTTTCAGTCGCAAGGCCTTAAATCCATTCATGAGCCCACAGCAATGATGGGTCATTTCTTGAGCCTCCAGAACAACATGATTGACGAGAAAATGGGCATTCAACATCTTTCAATTTATCAGTTCACTTCAATATGGAATATAAAGAAGAAAAATTCTACCTTGTCCTTTTTAAGAATGTGCTTATTTTCCTAGTTTACCTAAGTACTGCTTATGCAACTTCTTCAACAAAAATGCTTGAAGATGTGCAATCATTTGCATCAAACACTTCTGGCCAGATCTAAAATTTCAGGAAATACAATATCCAAGCATTCTATTTTCTTGTTTCTTTCAAATTGTCCATCGTGAGCAAGTAAGTAATGACCAACTTTTTGTAGCACAGAGAAACGACACAAACTCAGAACAGCTTAGCTACTGGCCCAAAAGCACATGTTAATCTAGTTTTGGGCCATATTTTACATAATTGATTGTAAAGAGACATTTATACGAAAAATTGCAATATGATTATCACTTGCTTGTCACCCACTCAAGCATGAGCAAATGCATAGCCACAATAACAAACCATGGTGACAAAATAACTGTAAATCCAGTCCCAGAAAGAAAGTTCACGTAATTGCATAGGCAGTCATGATCCTCATATCTGGTAACCTAAGATTGGGTGTAAATTTCACAGACGTCAAACTGAATTATCTTCACTGAAGATCATTCAACATAAAAGACAGCATGCTGTCGTTGAACCGGGTTGGCAACATATCATCTGATAAGCAGACAAACAAAGCTAATTATCACTAGTCATCACCAAATAGTATAAATATAGTCCTAATATGCCTTAAGCAGAAATTCTTTTACTAAATGTAGTAACTACCAACTATCCACTAAGGGCCAGACTAGCACTACTTCCATTTCTTTTATTCTTAATTACAAGAAAGTTATTCAAAAAATGATAGAAAAATCATGTATGAAACCTCAAGTCTTTTCTTTTGGTAAGTGTTTCAGTTATTTTTTAACTTTTACCATAATTTTTTGTATTTTCATGTCCTTTTAGCATTATAACTGATCGTGATGCCAATCTTCAAATGAGTTAAAGTTATGATCATTGAACATGTCAAACAAAAAAAGACCAAATGATGTATTATCTTTCTATTCTGTAAACACCAATAACAGAAGTGATGTCAGAAATAACTAAGTGACCTCTCACAAAATGCTGAATGCCTTAGATGAACCCAAGTAGTGATTATGATTCGAGTATAACTCTTTACTAATCCGATTCTGCATCTCAGATGCATTTCAGAATTCAGATTCCTGGGATTTTGGATGAGTAACTGGATATTCTAGATTTACAAGAGATGGAACTGAGATGATAGACATTAATCAAACATAAGTAATACGAATATGCAAATTGCTTAGCTAACGTGATATAAATTTTTTTCCTACAATCATCTCACCCAAAACCAGCTTAGGCCAACTAAAAATGAATTCATATATGAGTTATAATAATATAACAGTAGTGATTCTATGGTCTTAGTGCTATGAGACGATCTATACCATATATTGGAGCAAGACTTTTTTTTTTTTTAATCTGCTTGTGTGCGACAAAAACATCTTGAAATAAGGATGAAATGCAAAAACATAAAATGGGAAATCAAGCAACCTGTTTGTTTGGGATCAATCTGTACACATGCTAGGATATTCATGAAATGCAACATGCACACAGAGTAACCAGTGTGGCTCTGCTGTGATACCCAGGTGGGATCCATTCAGCCTCACTGCATGTCGTATTGGGGTCAAAGTACACCATGGCATTGCTAGCGCCTCTTTTAGGACCCGTAGCATTGCTTGCAGTCAAAAGTATACCGTAGCACCTCAATCTTTTTATGTGCAGATATGGCTGCGTTACCTACAATTCCATGGCAAGTATCATAGGACTCGAAGCTATACAGAAATTAACTGCAGGCAGTTACAAATCCGCATATGCTTTTCTACAGCGTTCTAATATTTTTCACGTCTTTTTTCTTTCCAAAATTTTCCGTCTTTGGGTGGTCCACGGAAGTGGTGGCCCTGACCAGGTCCACTAAAGAACTTCTTACAGGCCGACAGGGCGACCACCTCGCACTTAACCGCGGTAGTCCACACCATCACTCATGGAACGATGTCAGGGATAGGAATCATGTGCAAAAGCAGATGCTTGGAGTGGTGGTCAAGCAAGAAGCCTGCAGTCTGCAGGTTTCCGGCGGATTAGATACCCGGTCAGTGTCCATCGTTGAACAGGTTGAACGTGGTTGGGAACAAGTCTTACTGGTCCGGCCAACCTGTCGCGGACTAGCCACAAACCAGTGAGGGAACCTTCTCAGAAGGCAGCTGCGTGACCGCAGTTGACAGGAAACCAGCAGCTGTGGAGCCCGCGTTGCCTGCCAATGAGAAGATATCCTTCCCTGTCGTGGCGTGGCGGAGACACAGGAACCACACCACAAGTCTACCAGTCGATGAACTGAGAGAAGAGAGAAAAGAGGCGCATGGGAAAGCGCCAAAAGAGGGACAAAGGCAGGGGCACGTGATGTTGGTGGTCACCTGCAGCTTGCGATTGTTGGCCCTCAGCTCCTCCACGGCTCTCCGCAGTTCTTCCATCTCCTGCACCATGTGTCACAAGAATTGGGTATCATATGCCCTACGGAGGAGGAACCAGGGTTTAAAAGATGAAAAAAGGAGTCACCTTGTGAAGGTTCGCCTTCTCTTCCAATAGCGACCTCTCCACTGCCTGGAGCTCCGGTTTCGTCTAAACCCAAACACAAACCCCACGCCATTTAATATTTTACCAGTAATAAAAACCGTAAAAGAACAAATCCGATGCTTTCCGTACTGTTCGGAAAACCACGCCTTCTGAATGGGAGGAGCCACGGGGACCGAGTTTGACCATCCGCAGACCCAACGCTGCCTCCGATCACTAGGAAGGTCGGGGGTCGAAATGAGGGTTTTGGGGGCTTACCAGTTTCTTCGACGGGGGCCGCCGGATGGAGGCCGAGACCGGGATCGAGGAAACCGACGGCGTCCGTGGATTCCCAACTGCCTGCGAGAAAAGATCGACCACATAAAAAAGAGCAAGTCACGGAGAGCGTCCACGAACTATAGAGGAGAAAGATATCTCGACCGTTCGAATCGGATCCAAGGGGCGGGATGTAACTACATAATTACTTGGAAAAGATGAGGCAGTACTACCTACTGACTGCCACGGCACCGAATCACAGAATGCGCCGGCTAAAAAATTATGTTGTCGTTTTACCAAAAACAAAAAAGCCAATCACAAGTCAGGTAAGTTATTGGGTACGTGAGAACTGCGAGCGAAATCAACTGCTCTTTTTCTTTTTGACTAACCACCTCAACAGGACGTCTCATCATCAAACGTATGCTTTTGTTTTTGAACTCATTTTGTGGGCACGCCCGTCCGCTGGCCCCAACGAAAAGAGAGCTCGAGCCGAGGTGGGCCCCTTCAATTCCTCGAATCACAAATCAACACATCGAAGTCCTGCTCCCATTCATTGAATTCTTGGAAGAAAAATCCTCAAAGAACCGACTCTCGAAAGGGTAGCTTTTCTCCAATCGATTGAATCCCTCGTTAAAAGGAAAAGGAAGAGTAACATAAGATGAAGGGAAGATGATGGAATCAGGAAAGGGCGTAAAGGAAAAGACAAGAGTGGTGGGAAAAATAGCAGGGCCATCGGAGTCTATTCCAGTTCGATCTGGGGGGTATCCTCGTCACACGGTAAAAGCAAAAGAGGTAAACCAGCAGCGGAAAAGACGGGGAAGGGGTCACCTTAGTGAGGCGGCGGTCTTCTGGCGTCTCGACGGCGAGACTCCCGGTCTCGCCGCCGCCGCTCCCCGACGCGCTGCTGTATCCCTCGAGGGGCGACTGCGGGCTTGCCCTCCTCTGTCCCTTCCTCTTCTCCACCGCCACCGTAACCCCCTCATCCTCCTCCTCCCCAATCGTCCGCGTGGCTGTTCGCGGGAACCTCGCCACCCGCGACCTCTTCCTTCCCCACCCCAGAAATGCCGGAGTCGCGGATGTCGACGGCTTCTCGTCGCCCTCCGTCTCCAAACCAAGGCGGCTCCGTCGGCCAAAGCCGAGGATGACGGCCGCCACGAGATGCGGATCGAGGAAGGCGTCGCGGACCCACTCGTCGGGATCTTCGTCGGCAGCCGTGGATACGGCCATGGGAGACCGAAGAAACCCCAACGAATTGTGGAGGAGGAACGGAAGACGAGAGCTAGTGTTGGTTGGGGATGGGAAGCTCCGACACGAGAGAGAGGTGGTGGACAGAGGACCGCAAGCGCTGTGCGCTAAGACTATATATATAATATATTAAAGGCATTAAATATAATAATAGTCGGGGTGAGGTTGACCGAGGTAACTAAATGAGCCGGTCAAAATCAATCATCCAATGAGTTGTACCGGTTTAGTCGTTTCGCTCAGTTTTTTTTTTTTTTTACGTCACTGTTTGTTCAATTAAATCTTTAAAAATAAAAAAATTAATATTAAATTTTATTTTATTTTATTCTCTCAGATATGACGTATTTTATTCAAATCAAAAATATATATAAGAGCAGCAAGTACTCCATCGGCAGTCTATAGAGTTTGGAGTCGGAAATCACGGAAAAGGATAGTAAGAGTGGCCATCACCTATTGACCTACACATAACACGATAGTGATAGCCAGGTGGATCAGCTGAGCTACCTCCCCCTCAACTACCACCATCTTTTGGTTGGATGCATGGAGTGACAGAGACCGGTGTTGGTCGAAGTCTAACACCGATGATATATATATATATATATATATATATATATATATATATATATATATGGTTTAAGAAAATATTTATATGCTATATTCGAATTTATAGAGGTGAAAAAAAAGGGCATGAGGAATTTTGAAGGAATATATATAATTTGACTGTAGGGATAGGAGTAGAATATGGTGGGCTGTATGTAAAATTTTGCCTAAATATTGGAACATTGAACATGACAATTCAACAATAACATTGAGTATAACAATATGGAACAATAATTCAACGAAGATGATTATACTACACTATAATTTTGACTATTACCATGCTTTATATGATCCAATCGAATACTTTCGAGACCAATATCAATCTTGCGATGCAATCAGCTTGAATGAGAGTGGTTCCATAATAAAAAATAACCTTAACAGGAGGGAAAACAATGTTTTCCCGTACCAATTTGGTTGGACTCCCATCAAATCGACCAACATGAAAGGAAGCCGATAAAATAAACTATTCTAAAACATGAGGTTTTCTGCACAAATCACTTAAAAATAATACTTTTAATTTTAATAAAAATATATTTTTTGAATATTTCTCTTTTTTTTTTTCACCTGTTATAGTGCTTTGGTCTATCATAATATTTTTGACCTGTTACAGTGTTTTCGTTACCATAACAAAAATACTATAAGATCTACTTGAAAATACTATAAATAATTTAAGTAAACTTTTAACCTTAATCAAACTAATTATAAATTTAAAAAGATAACATTATAATGGTTACGAATAATAATAATCAAACAGATATGATATGATATCATTTATAATATTTTTTAATAAGTTATAATATTTTTAGTATATCAATAAAGTATCATAAATATTATTAAAAAAATACTATAAATGAAGTCAAATAAAAATATGATAATAATTAAAAACTAGTAAAAAAATGGACGAACAAATTTGGTAAGAAAATTTGAGGAGTATTTTAGATATTTTATAAATTAGAAGTATTATTGGGAAAAAGCAAAAGAAGGGTAGTTTTGAAAAAAAATTAAAGCATAAATATTTTCTTGAGAAATCGCCCATAATTTTGTTAAAAATAAGAAAAAAAAAAAAGTTCTTGATGGATGGTTATTATAATAAATAAATGAGCTCATCTCTCTCCCTCTCTCTTCCCCTCGACAGACCTCTTCTTCCTCCGTCTCCATCGTGGATCTCGTCCTCCGGAGATCTCTTCACGGTCTTCCAAGGTAATTGCTGGTCCCTTGCACGTTTATTTTTTGGATTTCTTTTCGGCCTTTGATCGGTTTGAAGCTGGACTCCCCCGGGCTTGGTTCGTCTTCCCGATCTGGATAGCGTTCCGGTTTTGATTTGTTACCGTTTTGACTTCCTTGATTCCGGCATTGTGGTGCTACGAGGGTTGGAATTTGGTGCTCAAGGGTTGGGAAGAAGGAAGAGTCCCGTCTCTTCCGTGGCACGCTCGGCGTTGGTCGAATCCGTTTTGAGAACTTTGTATTTGATCTACGAGGCATTACTTGTTCGGAATGCGATTTGAGGTTGAGGTACGGCAGCTGGGAAACTCACCAGCAGATCTATCCACCGAAGCTTATAGGATCGTCTGTCGGATTGGTTAGGGGTTGACATTTTATGGAATTTTGCGGGCTCTTAAGATCGTACGTTACAGGAGGAGGAAAAACGAATATGCGATCTGGAGAGCTCGCGAGCCCGGACGAATCGTGGGAAGAACGGAGAGACAGAATAATATTCGTTCATATGTCCCTTCTTTTATTCTTATATCTTATTATTGTTATTTTTACTTTAGGGTCAATGAAATACAAAATGGAGTTTTATTACCTACAGCTTGAGATTAGTTGTACCAATTTGTAGATGGAGCATTGTAATTTATAAGCAATGGGAATGCTACCTTGATCTTTAGGGGACGGCCTTTTTGACTGCCACATAGTAGATTAAAAGAAAATAAATTTGTTTTTCTTTAGGTAGCAATGGGAATGCTACCTTGATCTTTAGGCAGGTTGGTTATATATTGATTTATAGTTGTGATTATTTTATTTTTTAAACAATATTCACAATTTATTTTTTAATATTTTTTAGATTTATGGAGGCCAACTGTGATTTGGGTTCACTTCCTCCATGGAAAGGTAACTATTTTGGTTATATGACATGGAATGCATTTACTTTGCAGTTGGGTAATCCAGTAGATAACTCCTACAAGCTTCTCTGCAACTTGGCTCGTGGTTGATGCTTCCAGGTGCAAATCTTATGGTTGAGTCTGATGATGAAGTAATAGTCATGGTTAGACTGTTCTAATGAGAAGAAGAAGATGAAAGTACCACATCTGGGCAATGGGAACACATATATTGTGCCACCACAACGCAACAGGCCCATTGCAAGGCCACCTCGATGGATAATTATCCTGCTATGTTTGGTATCTGTCTGCTTGATCGGGGCATACATATATCCACCTGGGCAGTATCCGGCTTGCTACTTTTTTTCTTCAAGTGTTTGCAGCCCTATTAAGTACTGGTTGCCTCCTATAGCACGGGAACTTACTGATGATGAGTTTGCCTCTCGTGTTGTCATCAAAAACATTCTTTCCATGCCACTAGTTTGGCCAAAGCATCCCAAAATTGCTTTCATGTTCTTGACTCCAGGATCATTGCCCTTCGAAAAACTCTGGGAGACATTTTTTCTGGTAAAGTTGTAGCCCATAGTTTTTCTATATAGTTTGTGCCTCTCCTTTTCATGTGTTGAAGTGGTTCAATTATTTCTTTTTGCAAGGAATAGAATGAATACTTTATCTTTGTTATCCATTATGGAGTACATGTGTGATATTTCCAACTTTGGTGATGTATATATGAAATTAGAGTTGTTGGCAGGTATACGTTCCACTTTGCCCTAAAATGAGATTGCATATGTGAAATTTATCTAGTAGAAGCATCACAAAACAATAAGAGATGATTTCCGAATATATGTGATCGATTGTTGTGTCTGCTTGGGACATTCTTTTGTATAACACCAGCTATTTGCTCTATATAATTCTTGTATGATTCAAACTGGTATCCTGGCCATATACAATTGGTCAAAAGCCATGCTTCATATTTCTATTCAGGCCTAGTTGACATGAAAATAAATGTGATCCGCGAACTGCTACTATAGGAAGCAGTTCACAATCTGATACTGGTTAAATACTGCAGGGCCATGAAGGGAGATTTTCCATCTATATACATGCATCACGAGAGAAGCCAGTGCACGTGAGTCCTTTATTTGTTGACCGGGACATAAGGAGTGCTAAGGTACTCACAATAATCTCTTCTTGTAGACCAACTTGTTGAATGTTTTTGTTAATCCCATTCCTCGCATTACAAAATGATATCAAACAGGACATAGAGAGGGAAAAAAAATACAATCATATGGGATGTGTTGCATGTTTGTATGCTAAGTAGATCTCAGGTCATCAGATGCAGTACTTTCCTGACAGCAAAATGGTCATCATAATGACTGGAATGCTAAATCTTGATGCTGTAATGTATGAAGTTCATAAACATGGCATATATGTCATACTAGGAACTCAGAAGGATGTATGAAATTATGCATCAATTGTTACGACTACGTAAGTAATGGAATATCTTTTGACTACCATGTCACAATATAATGCCATATGTTAATTTTCATCTCTAGTTTCCTGAAAACAAGAATCTACTGCACCTGTCAAATATGGAGAAGGTGCTCGTTACATCTGTGGTGGTGCTGATAACGCCGCTACATTCTGTGACAAACTTGTGTGATTCTATTATCATAAGGCAATGTGAAGGACCTGGATCTGGTCTTGCTGACTGATTCTGTGGACCTACAGAGTTATCTTCTAATTAACAAATGGGAGCAGTAACAACTAAGACTGATAATCTTTGATTTAAAATCTGGAACTTGAGAGATAATCCTATGAATCAACTTGGATGGACGTGATCTATTAGTTGTTGAAATCTATAAACAAGAAAATGTACCAATTTTAGATATAATTTAGTTTTAGATCATTCTTTTGTGTTAATGTGTTGAAATTTTGTGGTCATTTTGTTAGCTTGAGTTAATGCTTATCAAGAACTAGTATTTGAACAAGCATTTTAAATTCAGGTTGTGTGGGGTAAGATATCTATGGTTGAGGCAGAAAAGAGATTACTGGCAAATGCACTCCAAGACCCTGATAATCAACATTTTGTCCTGCTTTCTGACAGGTGATTACATCATGTGAATCTTGAATTTATTTTTGGTTGTGCTTTTCTACTGACAGAACTGTCTTTTCTTATAGTTGTGTTCCTCTACATAACTTTGATTATGTGTATAGCTATCTGATGGGAACAAATGTCAGCTATATTGACACGTAAGGCCTCTATCTACATTTGCCAAAGACGTCACCATTATTTTTGTCTTATCATCAAATTTTGTTAAATTGTTCGACTATTACAGATTTTGGGATCCTGGCCCACATGGTAATGCCAGGTATACTGAGCATATGTTGCCAGAGATTGAAGAAAAGGACTTTAGGAAGGGTTCACAGGTAAACTTATTTCTTAATTTTTAATAAAGATTTTATTTACAAAACTGAAGAAGCGGTAAGGTGCAAGAAAGGATAGATTGATTTACATCAAACTAATGTGGAGAAAGTGGACAATTTTGCAAACTCTTCTGAAGAGCAGCAAAAGATGACAACCTTAAAAAGCAAAGATTTTATATGTGTCAAACTACTCTAGCCCAATACTATTCACTTCACACCTGGAGTCATCCTAGTAATTATATGTTATGACAGTTATGTTGTTATATAAATTATCTGATCTTAACTGGATTAGCTTCATACCAAAAGTATGAGTACTATGTTCTGAATTTTAATGTCAGAAAATACCACACTTCTGTGGTGCCAATGAGAGGCTACTTGTTGTGGCAAGTGTGTGCTGGCTTCTCCTCTTTTAGGCACAAGGCTTGCATGAATTGGAAGGGACTTATACTTAACAAATCTTGTCAGTAGATCCCTTTGGATGTGCATACCTTTGAAACTGACATCCTTGATTTCCAGTAATAAAGTCCACCTCATTTTGCACTTCTATCATCTTGTATGCAAACTTGTAGAAGCTAATAATATGTTAATAAGTATATTTTGATTAATATGAAGTAATATATGTCTAATAATGATTCTGAGGTTATGTTGGTCAATATGCTATATGGTCAGGGTATGTATTTTGAATTTATTAACAGCCAACAGAACTTTGATGGCTATGGAGCTAGTAATTAATAGGATAAGTTATGTCTTTGAGGTGAATTTTAGTGCCAGTTTGGGGGTACTAGATAGCAAAAGCTGAAGCAATTTTAGCTAATAATATAAAAGGAAAGAGAGCATAGTCTTCTGGAGTTAGCCTGGGGATGTGGTAGACTAGGTATGTCAAAGACTCCCTCTGCAGCAGACAACCAACTAGAAAGAATGTTTTCCTTTTTTTTGCATGGGAAACCAAGTAGAAAGATCTTTAATGCATGATATTTGAAAACCTCTTTGTTCAATGAAGTATGTTAGCTGCTCATGGTGGGAACGGTTAAGAGGGTGATGGAGGCTGTTCATTGAACAAGGGCATGTTATAGAAGTGAAGGTTGTTTAATTCTGGTGGATCAAAAAAATAAGGTGGTTGATGTCGGAAGACATATGAGAAATGGATGCTGGAGACTCTGAGACCTGATATCTTTTGGACATGATAACAGGTAGTGCAAACTCTTCTTGTTCATTCCTTGGTCCTCTGTTTATTTTTCTTAGGTCATCATAGATAAACCTTTTTCTTTTTCTTTTGCAGTTTATTATTTTTAAATCAAAATCTAAAATTTAAAGCAACATTTTAGAAAACAAGTGTCATGGTGACAGTTTGATAACCAGCTGGATTACTGGAATCAACCCAATACCACGTTTGTAGAGAAACTGACTGGTTCAAATGGATTGTTTGGGTGGTCATATAACTCGAATGGTCCATTCTGGAAACACACTAATTGGATCAGCTGGTCTTCCTGGGTTCTGATAGCCTTTTTGCTACATTTTATAAAACCAATATGACATTACAGGAGGAACCAACCTCTTTGTCGTTTTTATTCTGTTCATAGGCCTTCAAATCTGAAGTATCATCGAGTCCATATTCAGGCAGAACTAATAGGTTTCTATCTGGCAAAAATATGTAGTTGCCTATTAAATCTCATATGATTAGGGTATGTGGATTTTAAGGGCAATTATTAGCAGTTTCATGCATTCCTTTCAGTCTTTGACTTTTTGTTCTTGTGGATATTCAATAACATAACCAATCTTTTGTCATTGTTGTGTTATATGAAGATCTCTTTTTTAAAACAAATAGTTGCACATTTTTTTATCTTTTAAATTGTACGAGAACTCTTTTAATGATATAACATTTTATGCTTTTTCTGTATAGAAAAAAGATATATCTGTTTTCTTATGACATTGAATCTTATGCATATTACAGTGGTTCTCAATGAAGCGCCAGCATGCATTAATAGTTATGGCAGACAGCCTTTATTTCACAAAGTTCAAGCTTTATTGCAAGGTTAACAAATGCCTACATCTCTTGTTCTGTTTGTTTTTCGTTTATCCCTTGTAGTTGTCGGATTGCTGATGAAGCAGCAATAGTTTAACTAAAAGATTATATATAGCAGTTTGATTTGTGTTCTTCAATCAAAGAAGTGGTCTGTATCAAGTCACTCGTAGCGTTTTGATTTTGGTTGTATTGAAGCTTGGGAAACTCTTTTATTCCTCCATTTTCTTTAAGATCTAACACTCCAATGTTAGAAAAGATCTTCCACTACAACTCAATCAAGAAAAAGTTGGAGACCTCTCTCTCCAATATCACATACAGGATCACTAAAATATATCTGTCTTTATAGTTTCAAGTGGCTCAATTTACTCTGATCTTTCCTTTCTCTATTTATAATTAATAGAATGTACATAGCTTGCTACACAAAACCTCTTTTAAGAATGTATCACCAGTTTATATTTTTATTTTTCTCATCAACATGGGAAAGTTTGTTTGCTCTATCATGCACATATCAGATGGTTTTTTGACTTCTCACCTATCTGGGCTTGACATGGGATTTGGTTATGAGAGATTTATCATTTATCCATGTATATGCAAAATATTATGTCAGTAGTTGTACACTTCCGTAATTGCAGGCCCCTGGTACTCATTATGTTATACATATTTTTCTAATTGTTTTTCTTTTGGGATTTTGCAATATCAGATTCATGACAACCTTGTTTTGGGGTCCATTAATCATTGCTTTCAGAACTATGTTCTTCGCATATATCATTCTCAATATCTGCAGAAGTTGAGTTTGAAAAAACAAAGCAGAGATTCATTCTGTGAAAAATGTGCTTACACTTATATTTTGAGTTTTTGACCATGACAGCCAGGTTTTGATGGACGTAATTGTTATGCTGATGAACACTATCTGCCGACTCTATTCACTGTGAGCAAATGATACCGTTTGTATTATTAGCCTGATAAGTTACATGATATCTGGTAATTTAGTTGCTGGTTTCCAAAGACATTAATATCTATGACCCTCAGATGATTGACCCTAATGGCATTGCAAACTGGTCGGTGACACATGTGGATTGGTCTGAAGGAAAATGGCATCCAAAATCATACCGAGCTGAGGAAGTGACATACGAACTCCTGAAGAATATAACTGTATGCCTCCTCTTTTCTGAAGTAACATGTTTAATCTCATAATGAAGCTTCTAAATCTGCTTTTGTTGATACTGTTCTTGGCAGTCTATTGATGAGAGTTACCACATCACAAGTGATGAGAAGGTCATACACTAAAATCTTTTTACATGCATCTTCCTTTTATTTCATAGTTCTCTTGTCATTACTCCCTCCAACTGTGTCATTTTGATCTGAAAAATATGTACACTTGGGGTAAGGAAATTTAGCTCAGTCTTTTCATTTTGACAACAAAGTTTTAGAATTTAATTACCAGAGGTGACTATAAATTTATGTTTGCAGGTTAGTGTGATACAAATGTAACTTGGAACTCTGCCTTAGTATCAGGGACAAGATGTTGGCAAACACGTAGGACATTGTAATAAGTCATGCCAGTCAGATGCATGTGTGTACTAAGCTAGGGGTGTCAATAGGGCATGTTGGGTTGATCTGCATATGCTATAACAAAACTCACAATCCCAAACCCATGTAATAATCATGTCAAAAGTTAAATACGAACCCAACCCACCTAATACATGTGTAACTCAACCCAACCAACTTAACGTGTTAAATTAAGAGGATAGTTAGAATGTCAAAAAGTTAAATACAAACCAACCCACCCAATACATGTGTAACTCAACCAAACCAACTTAACCCATTTAATTAAGAAAATAGTTAGAATCATATTGACTGCACAGTGAACCCCATCTCAACAAGATTTGGCCTGCCGAAACTCGACATGTATAATATAATCGACGCATATGACATTATTTGATATGTTCATTGTATATAAAAATGATATAATTAACTTGACTATCTAAAAATGGCATGTTTAACACATTAAACCTTTTTATTAATTGGGTCAAGTTCAATCAATCATGTCAATTCTCTGAAGTACAAACTCAGTGCACTTACTAATTGGGTTAATCCTTTTAAACCTGTTTACAACTCAGAATTCTAGGCCTAATTGAAACTTGCTAATAGTTTGTGTTGGGTTATGTGTCAGGTCAAGAATTGAGAACTTGAGTAACATCCATCTTATTACATAATGGAAAAGATGTAGCTTCTCAGTAACCTCTGTCATAATTGGTGAATGTAACTATTTTTATATTATTTCATGCAAATCAAGTTAGAAAGCTCAGAAGAATTGTACTTAAAAGTTAAAACATATACCTACAATGGATGCATTCAATTTTTTCTCCCACCTGATTTTGCTTAGGGAATAAAATCTTGGTCCAGTACCTATACTGGTTAACTATCGAACAGGTATTGTATGAGATCGGACAGCATACTAAATGTCAGTATGGGTCAATACCAGTTGGTACCATTTGGACTGGAGAGAAAAAGACAAAGGAGAGGAGGCAAAAGCAAAGGAGGAGAAAACAGCACTGCAAACTGGTACAAGAAGGTGGCAGCGGCACATACTGGTAGGGGGAGGATGTGGCAATGCAGATGAGAGAAGGTGGTGACATGTATTGGTAACAGGAGGCGGCAATGCGTATGAAGAGGAGGCTGTGGTGATGCATTCTTTGGTGGAGGAGGCTATGCCAACACAAACAGGGAGAAAAAAGAAGAAGAGAGTGAATCTGTTGAAAGAAGAGAGAAAAGAAGATAAAAGAAAAAAAAAAGAGAGGTAGCTAGAACAAAAAGCTTATCAGGTAGTAAGCATTCTTTTCAAACAGACCACACAAAATTGCTCGGTCTCATATACCAGTCGACCATTAGACTAGTAAATGTTGGTCCATACCGACTGGGACATTTGAAATTTTAATTCATAGTTTGGATGTGTGGCTGAGTGCTAGATTATCTGAGTTGCAGCAGACTAGCAACTTGCTATATCAATAAAGCTACCTTCTTTGTTCCAGTCGATCAGGCAGTACAATGAATATACAAGGCACCTGAAATTTGCTAAGCAATAAGCATAATCTCTTTTCAATACATTGAACAACTGCAACTACCTCTTAAGTTAGTTGGAGTCATTTACATTTGCAGGTGATCTTTTTTTATGCATATGATTTCTAATGGACCAGCAAAGATTTTCTTCTTTCACATACCTAAAAAAGTTCATGCTATTTGTGTGATAAACTGATTTGTCTAATATATATACATATGTCCAGTACAAATATCAATAGAACTAGTTATTAATTGTTAGCGTGAAATACATATTTTCAGTATGCTGTCCATGTTTTGCCTTGAAACATTGAAGTCGATATTAGTAATGGTTTCATGACTGTTGCAGAAAGTGGAGATGCTGACACCTTGTGTGTGGAACGGATCGAAGAGACCATGTTATTTGTTTGCCAGGAAATTTTTGCCTGAAGGCCTTGACAATTTGATGCAGTTATTCTCTAATTATGCAATTGTTTGAGTTGTCTACACAATTACAATTCTTTGGTGTAGTGTCTGCATTAGACCTTCCTCTGCTCATGATAAGTAATTTATTTGCAAGAATCTTTTCAAATTGTGAAACTACAAGCTCTTTCAATATTGATCCGAGCCTTGAAAAGGTGGAGATTGTTGGGAGCAATGGGAAGACACAATTTCTGAGTCTCTTGAGTAGGGTCGAGGTAGCTGCTATTGTATGGTACACTGTGCCCTGTAGTTCACTTCTCTTTGGTCGTCTTCTTTTTCTTTTTTCATGGTGATTTTGATGTTGGGCAGCAAATTTTGTTAATCTATTCAACTATTATGAAGTAATCTTTTGTCCTTTTTTTCCCTGTAGTAGTTTTGGACCTCTTCCATCATATATTCTCCATATTGTTAAACATGCATCTAATTTAAAATTTTTTAAATCTATTTCGCTTGCTCTGTATTATTATCTCCTAAAGTGATTCCTTTCTTAGGCTTGCTTAATAAATATAAATGATAAATAAGTTACAGAAAACCCGAACCTGAGTGGACAGCAATAAATTGCTATTGTCTTTTTTTACCAAACTTCTTGTTGTAAAAGAGGCAGCTGAAGCAGGAAGCTTGATTCCCATCTTCTTCCGTGGAGGCAATGCGACAACCTCCTCTTTCAGATGAAGAGGATAACTGCACTTTTGGTTACATTCTTTTGCTCTTTCAGATGAAGAGGATAACCATGCTTCTTGGTATATTATTTTTTGCGCTTTCTTTCATTTGTCACTGCTTTAACCTCTCAGAGTTCATCTTTAACAAGTTTGATTTATTCTTATTTCTGTTGGCAGCCAGGAAATCCATAGTTGCAGGCTTTGGATCTTCTCTTCACTCCATGGAAGACCATTACGGTTAGTCAATGGTGTCTTGCTTTATAATTTTGATAATTTCATGCAATAAATGGTCAGCTTTTGGGTGAAGATCAGGTTCTATTGTAGCATCCGGAACATCCATGTCAAAAAGGTGTTCCACATCTTTGCACTTGGTACCATTTGGTTAACCCAGTGCAGTTTTGAAGTCATCTGCTATTCTCTCAGATTCAGAAGCACCATGGTCAAAGCAGTGATCCAAATTGCATTCTTTTATACAGGCCTATGATATCAGACCAAAGTTCATCTCAGGCAGTTTATCACGGACTGAATGGTAACTAGGAAACAAGTTCAAAGGACAGAGCAATCCCTTGAGAAGGAAATCAGAGAAATAAGGATTTAAGATATACTTCCTCAAGCTGGACTGTCTAAATTTTTGTCAAACCAGAGTCATCAGGGAAGAAGCTCACTGGTTTGGTCTTTGTTGCAGGATACGGAAATATGCATTCCTGTCTGTCAACCAAGTAAAGATCCTAGCATCGTAATTATACCGCAAACTCCACAATTCAGCCATCTGGTTGAGCTCTCTACAGACTTGTCGGAAATTCATTGGAGCTAAAGGAGTGTCAGCATGCTGTAGCAATTGGAGTGACAATTTTATTCTTCTCATCGTTTCTATGTCAGATAGTTCATATTTTGCACATATGCATCAGCTGTTCAGAAAAAATTATAGGTGATGGACATTCTACAATAGCAGAAAAAGGGACAAACTTAGAATTATTGCCTTGTTTCTTTTTGAAAGATCTTGTTAGATTCAGATGTACCGGCTTTGAATTCAATGGTTTACTTTGGTAGTTCGTGTAGTCTCTTGCTTCACATGCATGGGTCAATCTAAAAGACAAAGACATGAGAACTGAGAGTCAATGGAACAGATTCTAATGGACTTATTGCCGCAGATCTCATGTCCCTCCATCATCCAGGTTGATAAGAAGTTTTGCTTTCACCTGTTGAAGAGTATCCTAAATCAAAATTAAATTTACTTGTTGTACTACATTTATAATGAAATAGGTTTCATGGTCATTGCGTTATTAGCTTAAAGCAAGCATAAAAATCTTCAAACGAGTGCAGACAATTCACTGAGAAGCTCAAACTCAAGTTGAAGTCATCTTGGATTGCAGCACTTGAACAAGCAACTGTACTATCTTCCACCATGAATTATAATAATTAAAATCCATTCAAGGCTTCTCATGAATATTGAAACAAATGTAGAATCTTTAGGCAGCATTACAATTGCATTCTTCTGATTTGGTCAGATTTAATCTTCTTGTGACTTACAGTCAATATATCAGAAGGAATAAGTCACCAAACTTTTGTTGTCGATGACTTGTCGATTTCTGCTTAGTCGATAGGATTATAAATCTATAATCATTTGCATTACGTGAGGACTTAATTTCAAGTCAAATAAATTACAAAATTTTCTTATTTAAAACTTAATAACAAAGATTTAAAGTGAGTAATCACCACAATTTCCTGCAGGAACAGTATGTTTTCTCAGCTTTAATTTTATTTTTTATAAAAAAAAAAGGTTGGGATGTAAAGATGCAAAATAAAAAGGAAGTATGATTCCGCTACGAGCACTCGGCCCACCCCTCCTCGGCCACTCGGATCCGCTCGGCGAACCGGGCGATCCGTGACTCGGCGGCGAGGATGAGCCTCGCGGGTACACCGGAGCACGCTTCCAGCCGCCGTAGCGTCGCATCTGCGCCCTTCTCCGCCGGCGACGTCTCGTCCTTGCAGAGTTTGGTGGCGAACCAAAGAGCGGCCGCGAGTGCCACCCGTAGTGGCAGGGCCGCGAGTGCCACCCGTAGTGGCAGGGCCGCGGTCGCCTCCTCGCACGCGCAAACCACGCGCGCCGCCACTTCCATGCACGTCCGTCCACTGCGCAGCCCCATCCTCCTGCTCCAGCAGAGAAGGACCCCCGCCGCCCTCTTGTCCGCGTCCCTGCCCTGCCATTTCGCGGTAGCCCGACGCGGAGCGGCGGGCTTCGCCGCCCGATGTGCCGCCCTGGACTCGGAGGTGGAGAGGCAAGAACTTGAGGACGAGGAGATAGCGGAGTGGGAGGGGGAGGGATCGGGATCGCAGGAAGCGCAGAGTGGGCTGACCCGCTGCGGGGCGGCGCCGGAGACGTGACGGGCGGTGTCGAGAGAGCGGCACGCGTTGCAGGCGACCCGGCGGACGTGGCGTGCCACGAGGAAGTTGGCGCCGTGGACGGACGCGTCACAGGCCCAGCAGAGGAAGGCCGCGTCCGGCCCGCAGAAGACGGCCGCCTCGCCGTCGCAGAGCTCGCAGGCCGGGCGCTGGTTCATCTCCAAGTCTCCTGTTGGCGTCGATGAACGGCGTGATCTTTTTGCAGGGGAGAGCGGCGTTCGTTGCGGTGGTCGAGCTATCTCCGCCGAAGAGATGGCCTATATATATATATATATATATAGACGAGAGAGAGA